CTATCCCAAAGAAAGTGTTTCAAATAAATAATGCACCGTCTCCGCTCTGTAGCGAGGCAAGCTAAAATGACACCTGCCCTGAAACACAGAGGCCTGCTACAAGGAAGTCACAACACGTTACGAACAGAATCCACTCGCATCGACTGTGACCGGTTATAACTTTTCAGTCAGTAAGTAAACGCGTCCAGACTATGCCAATTTATCTGGAATTCATCTGGTAACAATTTGGTATCTTGACAGGCACATTTCTCTAAATTTGAAAGTTTAATTGTTTTTATAAACTCAATTTAATTTTCGAGTTGTTGAAAATGTTAGGACCTTCTAGAATCGGCCAAGATGGCGGCTGTGATTACCACGTGACCATGTGGTATCGACAATAGGCCATTTCCGAGTTACCTTGTGCCTCTGTTTCAAAACGAGTCCTCGTGTAAACCTTTCATATGAAAATGAGTTTGAGTTGTATGAAAAAGAACCTGTAGATCAGTTACGAAAGTTTCACAAGATACCCTCCGGTTAGCAGCGCCGAAATATTTAAGATAACCTAAACAAAATGTGTTTTGACGCAACCAGCTTAAGTTTTGTTCCACTTCCATGTTATGGCCACCTGTGCCAACAGAGCTGCTGTGCATTTCATACTTCATACGATTTGAACTACTGTTTCCCTTTCGTAAACAGTCGATGTAATTTTAGCGACGCCTTAAAGTTTGTTACTGGAGATGTTGTCCACCGACGAAGGTAAGTCGTGCTAACCATACCTCTGTTATCTCCACCACAAAAATTGATCGGCCAAAACCCCGGAACAATAGGCCATATTCGTATTCTCGGTATTGGACTGCAACTAGCTTGCAATGGAGGCTCACGCAGGGAATATCATTAAAAATAGATTTATGTCATTTGCACCTGAATTTGAAAAGACTACTTGCATAAGCCTCAGTTGCAGGCTTTAGCCAGATGGGCGTCCAGGCGTCCTGTGGACGGCCACTTTACCAAGAAAATCGTTTTATTTTTCATACGTTGTGTTATAAATTGTTACGCCCTCTAGCACATTTTGCACGCCCACTCTTTAAGTCCTGGCTACAAGTCTGCTCAGTTGCAAGCTAATTCAAGTCTAATACCAAGAATACAAATATGGCCCATTCAATTACGCAAGATGCCTTTCTTAAACCTACCCCTGACCTAAACGTCACTCTGTCTCAGGCCTAATAATCGCCTTATCTAGATCTTATTTGTTCTGATAATCAAAGCGCGGTTTCGACCTGGCGACCATTGCAAAAGGCTCGGTTACCAATGATGGCATAAAACTGTTTACGAAAGGCAAATCAGCGCCGCTAACAGCTTCCTACAATGCAGGTTCAAGTTTTTTGTACGATGACAATAAAGCACACATCGGGCAGAAGAACGATTCCAAAAGAAACTAAAAACGTTCACTCCTTTCATCTCCGCGTTCGTTTACTGGAGCGTACATCTTCAGCAGCGACCGGAGGTCCTCGTCTCGTTCGCGTAGAACTCGTAGTTCCCGAACTGTTGCTCGTGCCATTTACGACTGGAGCCGATAAGTTTGGAGAAGCGGAAGCGGCTGCTGCAGCTCGCGCGCCCGCGCGACGAGAGGTAGCAGTCCTTGCTGGAGGCGTGCTGAGTTCTGTGAGTAACATGGTGGCAGGAGACGGGGGCATGTTGTACTGTGTTGGGGTCATACCCAGGCGCTCTTCAATCATGCGTAACTGAGTCTCTGCTTCTCTACACTCGCGATGTTTCACTTTCATCTCCTCAGTTTGTCCGTGTTGCAGCTGTAGCTATGAGAGAAAAATAAGACCTTTTATTAAAAACTGGATCATTGGATAATGCAATTCGAGAGTTTTCATTGGCTTAGCCATCATGGGTTTTGAGCCATTATACCATGCTCTACAAATATGGTAAGCGAATGCGTGAATTTTTGGGGCGTTTTTAATGAACCAAATAGCCAACGAGGCGCGTAGCGCCTCGTTGGCTATCTACCATCTCATATCCAACGCGCGCTCGTGGAATAATTGTTAATTATAACACGCCATAGAAAATACAACCAATCAGAATACAGGAAAGCCGCTGTGTTACACCCAACCTTCCCATCATGCGCCGCGCGTATGTCGCATTGATTCTGTTGGACACTGTATTTTCTATGGCATGGTATAAAATAGTCTTGTAACGCTCTCTCATGGTATACCCTAGAATATCCCACTAGCAACTTGTATTTTCTTGCTATACACACTCGCCATAAGGCTCATGTGTATACCAAGAAAATACCAGTGATTCGTGGAATGTTCCATGGTATATAGAGGTTTGAACGGCAGCCAGGTTGCATGGCAGGAACAATGAAAATGTTTTGCATTAGAAAGAACATTTTTTCCCATAGGAAAAAGAATCTATTGTCCTTGTTATGCAACATGGCTGCCGTGCAAAATCTCTATACCACTCGAAAATATCACATAACTAGTATGTATCTACCATCACGTGATTCATGTAGGGTACAAGCTCCTACAAGTCAACTTACCGACAGTTCCTCCTTGGCTTGCGTGTGTTTTAAGACTGCTTGTCTATATGCTTGCAGTTGATCTATGAGAATAATAAAAAAAAGAACGAGCCATAAGCCGCAAGATGTTTGCATTATGATTTTCCTACGTCAGAAACAAACGGTAGTTATTAAAGGTGGACAATATTTTTCCATTGAAAGTTGTGAATACTTTGACCGGCCAGGAAGATTGAAAACAACAAAATTAAAAGAGGACAAGTTTGATCAAACAAATTATCGCTTGCCATCATAGTTAATAGAGGGAAAAGGTCAGGAAGGCCGGTAAACATCAAAGAAGCAAACAAACAGGCTAAGATTTATTTTGGAAGGTTCTTGACCCTGCATATCTTTTGTTTTATGCTCACTGACTATGCATGAATTACATAGCCGCAATGCTTCTATTGGTTAGTTGTATGAGCACACATAACCACCTTTTGTATTTTGCCAGGTTTTGTGGAGGGTTAACCCCCAAAGTGGCCACACAAAGACATACAATAAAGATCTTCCCCAGGTTTCCTAACCATTTCCCTCTATTATCTATGGTGCCATGGTGCAAATTCACTGTGATCCTATAAATGATTCGCTTCCGAATCAAAATACTCACCAATCTGTGTTGTAAGTGAATGAAAGGCAAATGGAAGTGGAGCGGCGAATACCGCACCACGCATTCTTTCCAAAGGAGGAGCTTTATTCTGAAGACCACCAAATTTACCTTAAGAAAGAAAACAAACAAACCTTAATGACAAAGATCTGGTGGCTAACTAGTGTACACAGCGGATGCAGTGCAGTAAGATCAAGTCTGCATATGAACCAAGTGGCCCATCAGGCCGGAGCTCATCCGGTTTCTGTAGCAGGAAGCGACTAGGAGTATTTCTACTCCCCCCTGGATGGGATGCTAGTTCATCGTAGGGTTACCCCCAGCATTAAAATCGCCGGTACTCATTTATACACCTGGGTGGAGAGATGCACTGTGAGAGTAAAGTGCCTTGTCCAAGAACACAACGCAACGACCTCGGACCGCTCGATCCGGAGTCGAGCGCACTAACCATGAGGCAACCGCGCTTCCCGCCTTAGTGCAGTACATAAATGTTATTTGCCAGCTGGGAGGTCCGTATAGTAAAAAACTGTGACCGAGGACTTGAAAAATGCAACCCTCCGGCGGCGTGCGGCCTCGGGCTCCAATTTCAAGTCCGAGGTCACAGTTTAGCACTAACACAGATCGATCATACGCTGGTAAATAACTTGCTCATTTTTTCCTCTGTTTCTCAAACCACTTTTTTCACCCACGAGAGCGTTTTCGAGACCGTTGGCAGAGATAGGAAAATCCTTCAAATGGAATACAGACAGCATAAGCTTTCTCAGCCGTGGCAGCTTACCGTTACTCCTGATGCGGTCTCCGCTACGTGTCAGAATTGTAGGACAATGGGTGTACTTCACAACCTACAAAATAACATGTCACAAGTAAGATGTTTCTGTTGCTGCGTTGTGACACAGCATCAGCTCTGTTCCTTACCTCCTGTCTGTATCTATTGGCACAGTCAAGGTCATCTAGGATCAAAGTGTCCCCGAGCAGCATACCGAAAACTGCAATAAAACACATAAAACACGCCTTCAACAAATAACATCAGCTACAACTTTAACTTTAATCAGTGTCATTGCCTATAGCTTGCTAATCCAGCAATGGTGGTCAGCAGGGTGCTCAGCTGGTACTTAAATGGAAAACCCAATAAACAAAAAAAAAAGTGCCATCAATCTTCGTCAAGGTTTACGTATGTCAAAATTACTACATCGCGAGTTTTACAGAGATCATATTTTTTTTTAATTTGTAAGGCAAGTATTATGTAACACATCCTACAAATTACTAAATCATGTCTAACAAATTAAAAAAAACAAAAACCATCGTGATCATTATGAAAAACTGATCGCGGTTGATAACGACTATTACTACGTCGTTATGGACAAGCATGATATTTTGACGGGGAAATGTCAAAACACCAGCTTAGGACAAACCACCCTCATAGCAATGTTGCCTCAGTAAAAACGAGGAGTGATGTTATGATTGTAATAAAATTAACATTGGAACATAAAGAAAATCAAGACAAAACCAAAATGCAACTACCTCAACTAATTCCATGTTAAAACAAGACCTTCACAAGCAAACGTTTCCATACATTGTAAACATTTCCATCTAAACTGTCAGTTATCCTCACTTCCGAGTAACTTCAGTTCATCTCTCGAATACTGTTTTATAAAATCGAACCGTTCTATGTGTTATCCCATTCTTTTAAATCTAAACTCAAAACTCATCTTTTTAAGAAAACTTATTATTCTTAGCGATTTTTACTTTCTATTACTTTCTTAAATGCACATTTTTAATTNTATACACCTGGGTGGAGAGAGGCACTGTGAGAGTTAAGTGTCTTGCCCAATATCACAACACAATGTCCCCGGACAGGGCTCGAACCCCGACCGCTTGATCCGGAGACGAGCGCACTGACCATGAGGCCACCGCGCCTTCCACTCGAGTATTCATTACAGATCTTAAACAAACCTTTTCAGTAGTAAGAGTGACAACACAGTCCATATCAGACGCCATGTGCCAAGACAATACTCGCGCTACATCATCATCCACTACTTGAGCTAAATGAGCTACCTGGAGGGGTAGGAACGGTACATATCGTAAGTTATTAAACCTTTGAACAAAATTTCCTGATAACAATAAAATTGTAGTAATTAGAATTAAAGTTTTGTCTGCTTGCTCGTAAAAACCCCTTTTTTATCGTACAAGCATATAAATACTTTCAGGGCAATAAAGGAAATTCATACATGTTTGAAGTATCCTGAAAATAAAATTATTAAATCCATAAGACTACTGCACTTTACAATGTTAGATGTTGAATTTTTATAGTGGTCGATGTTTACCTCTGAGACAAATAAACAAAACGAAACACTATCAAAGGTACTCAGTATTTTTCAATTTGCCCAATTGTCACACAGACATGAAGTTTGACCTCGACCATCATGTAAATATGAATGTCGAGTTTTGTTCACTTGTTGCAACGTACCATTTACTTCACTCACTCAAAATCTCGCTTGTAAGTCTTATGATATTTCAGATATTTACGACTTGTGAATAAAACTCATTCGCTTGCACGTTCCATACAGTTCGTAAGACCAACAAACCTTTCCCAGAATCCCCGAGTCTCCTCTTGGTCCCGGATGCAAGAGACACTGTCTCCTGGGAGTACTGGCGATCTGATCTCTCTTTCTGGACAAGTCGTCTATAAGTGANGACAGACTGATTAACTGTCTGACTGACTGGCTGACTGATTGATTAATTGATTGAGTGATCAACTAGACAATACAACTTTGTTGTATGTAACTAGAACCAAACCACATATTTTATTTCGATTGTCACGTGCGACCCCAAAATTGCAGTCGAATCGGAACAAGTTCTAAAACCCTACAACAATCACTGAACACAAGAACTGATTTTCCTTCCAAAAAACCCAACTTTTCATAAAATTGACGTTCTCTGGTTATTTGACAATCTACAATATGGAGTGGTGTGTCTATACCTTACTGCACTGACAGTGAGATGACCAAAGGTGGCTTGGCCTTTGTCATCTGTCTTCTGACCTGAAGGTGTCGGAGTCAGCTATCCAATAACAAACAAAATTCACTTAGTAAACCGTCTGATTCTTTACGATTTATCTTTACTTGCAAATCTCCAAAAAAAACCCTTTTATTTACCCTGGCAAGTGCTTATAGCACAAAGGCTAGAGAGGTCGAGCAAACAACTGAAACAAACAATTCAAATTGAACATAGCAGAATCGCAACTGGCTGGAGGAAAACCAGTTGGCTACTTACAAGCAGGGCTGAAGATTTGAACTCGGGGCTACCATGAAACAAATTCAGGTAGTGGTCAGAGTGGAACTCGAACCCGGAACCTCTGGATTGTGAGTCGGACGTGCTGACCACTTGGGCCACACTGCCTCCGGCATTTCAAGTTTAATGCTCTTACCTTAATCCCTCTGTCACAGTTCAAGACCACCTTGACATTTGACTCATGTGAGGGGTTTCCAAGCTTGTCACACAGTTGCACAATAAGCGGAATAGGCATTCTGGTGTCATTATACACTGACAGCGGCTGGAAATATATGGAGATAAAACTTAGTCAAAAAGTTAATGATTGGACAGTCATGTGACAACTTTTTTTACAACTTACTAAAACAAACAAAACGACGACAGACAGATAAAAATTGGTTCACGCTCTTTGTTGATAACTACTTCCTCGCTTCAGAGGCGAAGGGCGAGGTAGGATTATGATTTGCTTTGCAATGTTTAGAAACCATTCAACATTAGAAAGAAGACAGAGACACAACATTTGACCTTGATTTGTCAACTTTGCCAACATTACAAAAACTGAAAGTAAGTTTAATGTACCTCAGAATGATCAATGTCAATAATCTTAAGTTTTGCCGGTGGACCTGCTGTGACCTGTTTGTTAAAATAATATCACACTGATATAAAACAATATCTTGTTCTAAATTCATCAAAAACTCTTACTCGCACGCAGGGCAATTCAAAAGGTCTTTGCACTGCTTACCAAATTACATAAGGAAAACAGACAATAGCTTACACAGCGACTTTTCTCTGGGACAATATCCCCACTCACCTTTAAGATCTCAATGCCTTCAACTTCTCTAAACAACTGAAATTATATTTACTGTCTGAACAACATTCTGAAAACTTGTATTGATTTTCTCCATTCTATTATAACACGTACACATCTCTTATCTTAACAGTTCTGTATTCTCTTAAATATCTATAGAAACATTACAGTAACTGGAGACTGACTAGAAATCTTGTTGGAGCAGTTAATGTTAGTTACTGTGATCGAGAGTGTTTCCCGTGAAAATTATGTCAAATACTTGAGTTATGGTAAGGTTCATTAACGTTTCAAGGGAAGAGTAATGCAGTTTTATACCTCTAGTCTTTGATAACACTTCATTTCCTTCCATTTAATGGTAAGCTCTCTGTGTCCAAGAGGTCCATCTTCAAATTGGATGTTCTTGATCACTATATTTCCCTCCTACAAAATTGACTTAAGTTAAACCTTGTGCTATGAGTTTTCTACACCATAGAAACTCACATAGGTCTCATACAAGACAAATAACACATCATTACAAATTATTATTGGCCAATAGGTACAACAAATTGAATAAAATATACCAATCATTTAAATGCTTTTAATACTTACAGCAGTGAATCCTAACTGAACTTCACGCTCTTTCAATCCCTCTGAGGAAACATGAAATTCCGGCAGCACATTGCTTGGTAACTGGAAATGAATACCCAATAATCAAAATACATAACCCATGACAATACACAAGACACAGGAATACACAATTACAATAATAAATACCACCATATCAAGTTGCCAAACAAGGGCGATATAGATGCCGAATAAAATGCTTCCAATTGATCCATAAACAATAGAGCTGATCTGTCTTGCGTTACAACTTGCACATGTACCTAACCGTGAAACCATACCTTTAAGTTGAGGTAAAACTGCAAAGATTTCTTTCTCTTGAAGAAATGAATTTCTAACGTAATTCCAGCTCACCTTCCCAGTTTTGTTGCCATGTTTGTCAGTTACTGACAGGATAATGTCAGATACCAGAGGTTCCCCTAATCTCATGAAAGGCTCATCACAAGAACACTTCAGGATGTTAGGTACATCAGCTAGAGGTCTTACAAAAAGAGAAAAAAAGAATAATGAATGCAAACATTACAAGAAGACAGGAGGTACGAGAACAAAAATGGGAAATGTACAGTAACTGTATTCATGTAATATATATTTTCAATTTTAAAGGAAACAATAAACTACAACGGTGGCTTCATGGTTAGTGCGCTCGACTCCGGATCAAGTGGTCCGGGTTTGGGCCATGGCTGGGGACATCTTGTTGTGTTCTTGGGCAAGACACTTCACTCTCACAGCAAAACTCTCCACTCAGATGTATAACTGGGTACTGGCGAATTTAATGCTGGGGGTAACCCTGCGATGGACTAGCATCCCATCCAGGGGGGAGTAGACATACTCCTAGTTGCTTCATGTTATGGAAACCGAGATAAGTTCTGGCGTGGTGGGCCACTTGGCTTGTATGCAGACTTTAATTTTACATCAACAACAAATTATGTCAAGAGATTTAAATCACAGAATCTGAGAGAAAGAAAACTGACAAATGAGAAAACATGCCTTGTAACTGAGTATGACAACAGTGCTACATAGAGCTTAAGTCTGCATACAAGCCAAGTGGCCCATCAGGCCCGTGCTTATCTCTGGTTTCTGGATGAGATGCTAGTCCATCACATGTTACCCTGGGCAGCAAGTACCCATTTGTACATCTGGAGGGAGAGAGGCAACAACCATGAGGGCACTGTGCCTCACAGAACTTACTTTACTGTAAAAGAAAACTCCAGTCCTGCTCCACCAGTCATGCTTACTTGACAATATTTTGGTTCATCACAAGACAGTGGAGCCTGCAGTGAACAGGAAGATTCAGTAAATCCTGTGACGAACCCCATTTCCCCCCACCCTCTGTTTAACTTACTTAAGAACAATATCACACTGTTATAAGGATATAGGAGAAGTCATCGGTCAAATTCTCAAGGTGTAACTGAAGGTAAACTGTATGTAGGGGAAAAACGGAAACAGCTGAAACCATTGTAAAAAGTGTACAAAACACACAGCACTGTAGTTTGTAAAAGAACTAGGTAAAGCAACACGGCCACAAGTGCCAGGATCTACAGAGACACTTTGATAACTAGTACATGATAACCCCGTCCATAATGCAGAACTGGCTAATCCAAATATATACCTCAAATATCCCACAGAAACTTTAAATAAATCTGTATTTATTATTGTCCATAAAATGTTCATAGTTTGAATGCGATCACCTTGACATCTGGAAGAATTCCTTGCTTGATGATTTCTTTAGCAACCTTAGGAGTCCAGTTCACCTAGTGAGTGCAAACATGACAAAACAAAATAAAAGTTTGACATGAATGGAAGAGGTAAATGAACACTGTTATATATCAGCTTCTGCTTATTGTGAATGTTTGACTACTATAATCAATTGAAGGAGCTCAGTCACAGCATTTTGAGTTATTTTGGCCATCAACAAATTTGCCTTTAAACTGAAGGAATCCTGAAAATAGAAGTTTCCTAAGATAGAAAAACATCAAAGGGATAATAATAAACCACGAAGAAACAAGGATGGTTAAGGATGGGGAAGATCAACATGGATTTGAAAAATTTTGGCTTAACTTTTCAAGATGTGCAAACTGTAACATAGCTCCTTTAATCCAATCATGACAATAATGCCCACAACTCAAACAAAGACATGCTTGTTTTTGTACTTTTCATGACAGTCATATGCCACGTGCATACCTTGAATCTGCTAGCCAATGAGTTGTCAATATTCACTTCTCGCTGACCTTCATCTAGAATTCTAAAACCTTTTAATCAAAAGAACAAAATGGAAAACTAACAAAACCTGCATACACTGAATTGACTGTAGAAAATGCAGTTTTGTTTCAGCCTGGCAAAAGAGCAACAGACCTTGTAATGGCAGCTAAAGGAAAATAATATTCTGATCAAAGAAGCATTCAAAATCCTGGACCGGGTTGGTGAAAGCCCAATTAAGGTACCCAGGATTAGAATTTTGATTTCAGCTTTGTAACTTTTTGATGCGTTTGTCAGTTTATATTGTTTGTCCTTCTGTTTTGAGTTGGACTGATCTCAAACTAGACAAAACATAACCAGTGAAAAATATATTATACCAGAAAAAATAATACTTCAATCAGTTAATGTTTAATCCTGGTCAGAGTTAACCAGCTTTTGCGCAACCCAGCCCTGGCTGAAAAGCCTAGCAATAGTTAATTGGTACTTGTGACAAATCAAAACTGACCAGATCTTTAATTCAATGATCAACACAGAAGGGCTAAAAAATAGAAATGTCAGAGTATCAAACACAACAGCCACAGAAACAAATGCAAGGAACTCCAACAGCAAGGAAGGTTTGTGTTTGTAAGATTGATTTGAATTCTGTGATATTTTTTTGACAGATTAGAGTACATACTTAATCCGGACAGCAAGTTGCCAGCCACACAAGGCAGCTCCTGTCCATCCTCCACTTTCTTCTTTGGTTTGTCGTCAGCTGCTTGGTGAAACACTTCCAGCACTGCTGCTTTACTGCTTGGCATCACAACAATGGTCTTCTCTACTGCAGCAACTTCCTTGTGATGCTAATAAAAAAGCCAGGATAACCGTCAGTGAGATAGGACATTCAGGAGAACATGTAAAATATTTTAATTTCGTTCTTTTTATTGTGATATATTCAAGTTCAGTGTACACAACACGGCCTGACATGACTTGTGTGCAGGGTGACATTCTTATGCAGTCATCACCACAATGTCCTGGTAGTGTCATGTTTTTGACTGAGTTAACAGTTTAACAAAAATGAAGGAAAATATCAACAACAATAACAACAAACCTGTAATTCGATCTTGGCCTTGAGCTTTGTATTCTTATTAATTTGTTTCAGACTGATGTCTACACCAGTCAGAGTGGCTTTTCCTGATGAGCTGCAGTCCCCAATATATGTTGGTAGGCCTGGTGTGCCTGTAAGCTACAACAGAGAAATGCATAGCATGGAGGTCTTCTGATTACTGCACTGAAGGTTCTAAAACTCTCAACAAAAGACTATTTTATCAAATATTCATGTATTTGAATGACAGTATTCTAAGCCAAGAAATACTTCTCACAATGAGGTTTTCAAGGAGGTTCTGGGTTGATATTGGTTGGCTATGCAAAGTTTGGAAAATGTGTGACTGTTACCTTGCAGACAACATTAAGTCTAGGTTGAACTGTAAGGTTTCCAGCTTTGTCTTGGACTTGCACTTGTATTTGAAGAGGACTGTTGTTTTCAACAGTGACATCTTCACCATCTGGTGTAACTACCAATGATTCTGGAGGACCTGTGGAATACAACATGCTGCTACAATGAGCGACAAAAGTGTTGAGACACTTTGCAGTAAAATTTGATTTTTGAGTGTCTTGGAAAGATTTTCCCCCTTCCCCAAACAATGTTGATGCATTATCAACTACATCATAGTAATCAGTGACAGCCTATATCAGAGGATGAATGCGATTAAGGTATGCTTGGATTTCAAATTAATCCATGCTTTCAACTCATTGTTTTGCTCATTTTGCGGTCTTTTGCAGTTTTGAAATTGTTTTGACACTAATGTAATGACACTAATAAATCCAAATAATAATTAACATTACCTGGTAGTAGCCTGATCTTTAAGCTCTGTGAACCTTCTTCAAGTCCAGGTAGGGTGATTTTTAAATTAAAGTCCTTGTTCAGGAAATAAATAAAAAACAATGTATTGGTAAGAGGTACTTTGGCAACAGGATTCAACCCAGAAAAAATGTCTCAAACTTATAAATATGAAAAGGGGTTGGGTCTTAAGAGAATGACAGGGGTGGATTGATACTAACAGAAGTAAGAACCACGATGGATCACCATTCCACAGGCAGACTACCCTGCCAACAAAGCACACCATTCTGGGCAACACAAGCACCAATAGGAATTAAAGAGTAAAGATATCCTATTGTGGATTTAGACACAAACTGAACTTCCTGGCCTTATGTACTGAAACATATTAAACACTCTACCATAAAAAAGGTGAGGAAAACAATTACTTCTGTGTTGACACATCTTTAGAGAGCCACCAGAGGAGTTCTTGAGGCGAGTGTAAGACTAACCTTTCCTGCATGTGACGGCACAGAGCCCAGAGCAACAACACCCTTAACAATGAGGCTGTTCCCCTTTACTGATGTTCCCTGATGTGTCAGCTCCAGGCCACTGAGAAAAAAGGAAAACCTTCTGTTAATCATTGTTATTTACAGGGGACAGTGGACAAAACAAAAATCAAGATAGTTGATGAGTGATTCTACAGTTGTTATGAGATCCTTCACATTGGATGTACACAAAATGAGTGTGAGCCACACATTGCAACTTGGAAACCAAACCCTGGAACTCTGTGGGTGGGCACAGGTAAACATGTAGTAGGTTAACAGATGGGAAGATGAACCCTGGAAGGGCTTCACCTCAGAATACCTTGGTGCAACAGTACAAACAGTGCAACTGCACATCCATCTTACCTTGCACTTAAAACTGGAGAAATCTCATCACCCAATTTTGAAGGGTTGTTGAACTCATCCAACAGATTAAGAGGAATCTTAAGAAAAACAAAGTTTACAAAAATCAGCATGTTCACTATTGATTCTTGAATAGGTACTGGAATTGTGTGGACTGTCATCAGTTCAGTCACATAATCCAGTGGTTAGAACTATACCTGGAAAGGTACTCCTACTCTGAGTGGTGTCTCCAACATCCCAACTGTAAATTTATTTGGATGAGCCTCTTAAAATAAAGAATAATAAAAGTAAATAGCTACAACCAAAATGAATGTTCTTACAGCTGCATCAAAATTGGCATTAATTAACACACTTCTCATTTGCAGATTTAACAAAAATTTCACTGCATTCAAATGTTCCAATGTTGTTTATCATGGTCAATGTGCTTAGCTACACCTAGCTAGTTCACGGGCATGCCACTTACACTGAAAGAAAGAAATAAAAATTCAAACTGGCAGGAGGTATGGCAGACCAGCTAGCTGTTTACTAGCATGACCAGGAGGCTGAACTTGGGTCTACCGAGAAACAACTCCAGCTTAGTGGTCAGAGCGGGACTTAAAGACTTAAAGTCTGCCCCCCTAACCACTCGGCTATGTTGCCACTACGTGCTGCTTTTGAATAATTGCCTCTGTGATTTGATGTGTGCTCTGGGTGTGAGAGCCATGCAAGATTCAAGACAAAGACCTCCATAATGACAAAGCAAGACTATAGACATCCACATGTCATCCCTGATTGGTTAAACCAGAGTCAGTATCAAACCACCAGATACCTTGAAGATCGCTGGAGTTCACACCATAAGCATGGAATGATTTTCCCTCAAGGGTGAAGGGAAATTTCAAAAAGTCCAAAAACACATTTGGTTGAGTTATTGGTTACCTGTGACAGTGAACTTAATGCGATGACATGGAAGACTCTTTATTGAAGGCGCAGTTGAAGTATCACCCAGCAATACCTGGAGCTGAAGAGTATGTGGACCAAGATGGGTAATATTCTCTGCAAGGTCAACAAGATATTAATTACATTTGGCCATCAGATGACTTACTTTAAACAGATTTGTTGTATCCTAGGTGAAACCAAAACCTTTCCACATAGTAATCAATCATGAATTTCTCATTATAATGCCAAAAGAAGACAAATTTTCAAGTGAGCAGGTAATGAGAATAAAGATAAACTTCAACTTGGCCAACATATTGGCTTCATTGACAATAATGCAGGACCTTGGAAAGGGGCTGGGGGATACACACTTACCCATTTTTCTGAACCAGTAAGGCCAACTCTTTCCTCCATGTTGGCAGACATGATTTGTTATCACTTTATTGCCATCTTTGTCATTACCTGCCAAACAAACATTTTGAATGAAAATAAAAATCACTGTGTACAAGACATCAACATGCAAGGCTGGCAAATTTTCTGCCAAAATAAACCAAAACGGGGAAGTGACAAGAAATAACTATATTTATTATATGGCTTTCTCCATGAGTTGGCAAGACGAATCAAATCCTCTGCTGTGATTGGTTACCCAAGCGGGCAAGATGGAGCTATCCAAAAGCCATTTAATAAATCCTTTATTGACCAAGCTTGAACCTTCGGTCAAGATGGCTGGATATTGGATCTCAACTCCATCTCAGTCCATAAACATGCAAACAAACAAAAAAAAACAAACAAACAAACAAAAAAAGAGAACTTGGTCCCATTCTGACCTTGCAACCTTGCTCTCTCAATCTCAGTAGTCTTCACCATTATTAAGAACTCATGGCCAACCATAGTAAACAACTTTCAAGATAAATTTGCAAGACAAACATGGAAAGCTCCTACAAATCGTAAAGTAATTAAAAATGTCAGGCAGCTGTAGTATCCTACCATGCCAAATAACCTTTAGTTCCACCAACAGTCGCCTTCTGTCACCAGGCAGTTTACTTACAGATTCACCCTTTCCATTTAAAATATCTACTTTCATGGCACCTGTGTAAATTATGAAAATACCAGTGCTGAGGAGCAACTTAAAAATGTATCAGACAAACAATACATGTAGATAATATTATTACAGGGTTCATGCTCTTTTTAGCTCTCGAAATTCCATGACCTTAAGTTTAGCTGTCACTTTCAAAAACTTTCAAAACTATCCTTGTTTTAGGGTATTTTAGGGAGGCTAATTGCTTGGTCACTATTCTGTTCTTGTTTTGACATGTGCAGAGATGAATGTACCAGATATTTATATATTTTCTATGACTTTCCATGACCAACAATAGACCAATTTTGATATATTAAAATTCAACCTAAAACAATAGACCTCAGCACGAGGCTCTGGGGAATAAACCCCACAAACTCTGTAATATTTATTTCCCAGATCCTTGTACTGAGGTCTATTGTTTTAGGCTGAATTTTAATATGTTGANAAATTCCATGCCTTTCTATGACCTTAAGTTTAGCTGTCACTTTCAAAAACTTTCAAAACTATCCTTGAGGCTAATTGCTTGGTAACTATTCCGTTCTTGTTTTGACATGTGTAGAGATGAATGTACCAGATATTTATATATTTTCTATGACTTTCCGTGACCAACAACAGACCAATTTTGATATATTAAAATTCAGCCTAAAACAATAGACCTCAGCAAGAGGCTCTGGGGAATAAACCCCACAAACTCTGTAATATTTATTTCCCAGAACCTTGTACTGAGGTCTATTGTTTTAGGCTGAATTTTAATATGTTGAAATTGGTCTATTAGATTCCATGACTTTCCAGGCCTGGAAAACGAAATTACTGAACTCCATGACTTTCCAGGTTTTCAATGACCCGCACAAACCCTATATTACTGTTAACATTTATTATTGATCAGAATCTTGTCCATTCAGTACCTATAGTGGTTCCTGCAGGTATTTTAGAATTAGGGTCCAGCTTATCGTGTTCAGGCCACTCTAACACCAGTTTACTTGGTAACCTGATGAAATAACGAACAATCACATGTCAGACCAGAACACAAAATAAACTGGTGACATTCCAAAGTTAACACTCACACATCTCAAGAGGCCATACCAGGAATGAAACTCTAGCTCTCAGACAAACTGATTTATATTTAAAGTAAGATTAACAAGACTAGCAATAATTATTTTACTTAAATATGTCTAATCTGTCAGTTTTTTTTGTTCACTGAATTTTCAGTGATGTCTGTCTACCTTCATCAGAGTGAAAAATGAATGTTTGTTATAACATAACTTGCGCTTTTACGAGGTTGAACAAGCATGCAGAGTTTAAAGTGGAAACAAAGGAGTATGAGCGTGCGCAAAGACTTTTCTTTCATTCACTGCATTTGTGGCCAAAAATTCAGTGAACATAAAAACCTACAGATTGGATATATTTAAGTCAAATATTCTATGACTACCAATCACAAAGAGCAAAGAAGACTAGCAATAGTTGACATACTTTTCTCAAAACTTAAGCCACACTTACATGTGTTTTCACCCTAAGAATAGTTTACGTTGTTAAACCTTATTTTTAATTATCATAGAAAGTTGTAGTGATCTTACTTTGCTTCTTCCTCTTCAACAAACTTCTTAATTGAAGCAAGGTTCAGTGATCGATCTAACTTGGCCAAGGAAAAGAACTTAGTGTCTCCATATAAAGAAACTGGCTCCTGACAATAAACAGAAAAACAAACAATACAAAAGTGTCAAGTCTGTTGGACTTTTGGCAATGCTATTGACAAAGCTCTCTAAGTCTCACACACTGAGTGTCAGACTCACACAAATGAATGCAATCTGATCATGCTTGGACAATTATCTCTCACGTCTTTAAAGGTCTTGATTTTAACAATTTATTTTAATTTCTACTGGAGTAAATTTGCTACATAATGAGCCACCATTCTGGAAATGTTTTACTATGTTCCCTCTCTACCCACTTTGAGTACTCTCCAACAGTCAAACGACAGTCCTGCCAATATTCTTGCGCAGAGCGATTGTTGCACCAGTCCGTGGTTTCACATTTTGCTCTGAATAAAGGCAAACATATCTTTGACACTTCTGCCAGTTTTTCAAAATTTTTTGGGAAGACCTCCCTAGTGAGGTGATGCCCTTCCTGGACCTCAAAATGAATGGCTACAGTGCTGTAAGTCTCAAATCTCACTCATCCACAACAAATCAGTTTCAGAACTTTGTGTCAATGTCAAATTACAATTTAACTGCTCTGGAACAACAAATAAAAATCACATTTTGATTATTGTGCATTCCGACTACTAGCTATGTAATGCAGTAATATATATATGGGTTATTGACCAAGTAAGGGGCTAAGATGGCTGGATTTTGGCCAAGTTCATTTTTGCGTGTTCATGGACTGAGATGGATTTGAGGTCCATCAACACGCAAAAAAAGAACGAGGCCAATATTCAACCATCTTGACCAAACAAGCTTAGTCAATAAAGGATTTCTTATAAAGAAAAAGAGCTCTATTTTTTTGCGGGACACAGCAGGTAATCCCGAGCTGGCAAGGAAGCGCCATCTTGACCGCTTGGGTAACCAATCACAGCGCAGGATTTCATTCATCTTGCCCGCTCACAGAGTTAGCCATATAATAAACAACAGTCTCACTAACCTGGACTATCTCCATCTCTCCTCCAGTAGCAAACACATCTCCATCATGATCACCAAACAGAAGAAATCTTTTCACTGTTCCACAAATCATTGGTATTGTCCGTTGTGTCCTTATCTGCAATCAAATGAGTTTGGACTGCTTTATTCAGTATTTCTGATCTTGAAATCCAACAAATAAACAGAAATAATGAGACAATACTCCACTGACCATATTTATCATGCCTATAACTTTTAGAATATTGATATGTAGATAATAGTGTGATGTCCAGTTGGATGATAAATAACTGAAAGACCTCTGAATGGCACATAGCTAAAGGTCTAGAAAATTCTCGTTGTACAGAAATGTCTCACTGACAGCTTGTCAATGAAAATGTTAAGAACAGGATACTGTACAGCATATTTCCCCGCCCCAAGGGATCAAGAATTGAATAAATCAAAAGTTCAAAAGCACAGTTCATTAAGCCAGGAAAGAGATGAGCCTGACTTTAAAGGACAAGCAAACATTCTATTACATATTTAAAGAAAATTGGATGTAAGTAATTTGTTGCAAGCATGGCACCTTAGACCTACACAACTTTCCACTTAGTCTACCTAATTAACAACTAGACAGGCAGAAAACAATACAAAACAAGATGCTTACCAACTGCCCTACTTTAAAGATCTTTCCGTCCCACTCAATGGAGTTAAAAACACACCAAGGACTTTGGTTTCGCTTCTGTGGTAGATCTGGACGTTTAATCTGCCCTTGAAAGCCAATGAATTTGACCTAAATACAAAAATCACAAGTCAGACAACATGAACAAGATAGATTTTGGAGACAGAAAAAAAAAAACACATTTACCTGTTTGTCATGGTTTTCATGACATTCTCTCACCCAGTCATGAAACGCTCTTGCAATGTTCACCCTTTGTTCCTTGTAACAAAAAGAAAAGTAAGGAAAAGAACATCAAAAATTATTACTATGATTATCAGTTGAGCAAGGCATGACAGAGCTTTGGTGATGAAGTTTTGGACTTAAATTACTCTGTTGCCACAGGCAACTTTCCTCGTTTTAATTCTGCATGTTTCTCTGCCAACAACGTCAAAGGCTGACAAGTTGCCACTGGAAACGGAGCCAGTTGCCCATGCCAACAACACAAGTTGAGCGTAAAAATCTGGTTGCCAAACTTTCGTTGTGCTGTACTCAACTGATAATCTTTGTAATACTGAACAAAATTGCTTCTCAAGCTTCAAAGTTACTGTAACATACCTGTCCTAAAATAACTCTGCTGAAAATTGTACTCTTGTCTTTGATTTTGACTTCCAAATCCATAAAAGTTAACTTGTTTGTACTGACTTGGAATGCATCATTTGTCCACAAGCAACCTGAAAATCTATAAATTAAATGAAAACCAATAACAGGTGCTATTACAGCAGTATTTCATCTGGTAATCATGTAAAGCTTAAATGCCTCTATAAAGAACAGGTGACTCATTACAAAGAAAAAAGAAGATGTTGCCAAAGGAAAACAGCAACAAGCACAAAAAAATGTTTTGTCCGTTTTAAATTTTCTGTCATTATACATGTACACACTAAGTGAGCTCATTTAAGTAAATTTTGTTTATTGTTGAACAAAGTGCATGTAACATACGTACTTCAAGCTTGGGAGTTTGTCTTTGAGAAATAAACACACTAATAATTAAATGATGGGTTATCCCAAAAATCTTGTTCTATTAAAACACTTTGAGCATCATTACTAACAGCAGTTAATTCTTGAATAACATATAGCCCTCCCATTGCATTCTAAAAGAACCACTTCAGCAAATTCGCTTGAAAGCATTCTTGTTTTGCAGGTTGTATCATACTACAATCAACTCACCAAGCTAAGCATCAGGTGCACACAAAAAACTACTTGTCTGAGTTTGTTTTAAACTGCATTTTACTTAGTATCCTCTGTGTCTTTGGAAGATCTATGCCTCTAAGTGAAAAGGTATCATATTAATCAAGGCAATCTCAAGATATGTGCTAGTTACCTGTGATAACACTCCTGTGGAATAGTCCACTTCTTTGGGGGCTGGCACCATTCAAGCCTGATAATTCAACATAGAGACACATTATTGTTGGTTTGCTACTGGATAACAAAGGCCTGATAATCAATTACAAACTTACACATCAACAGCAGTGTATGGAATAAGTCGACCATTCCAGTAGCACTCAAATATTGGACGACTGCCTCTGGGTGCTCGACTGTCTCTTTCAATTGGATCAGCCAGTTCTTCTGGAGTCTCAACAACTGGAAAAGGTTAACAGATTGTGACCAAGTTATAACTTAGTAAACTTCATATTTGACAAGAAGAATAGTAAAGCAGTAAATGCTGTAAGTTTGTTGCGGGTAATATCATTTCAGTAAACATATGCCCGGATGTGTGTGCCTGAGTTTGATTCCAACCTGGTGTCATAATTATGTGGGTTGAGTTTATTTTTGGTTTTTGCCTTGCTTCAAGGGTTTTTCTAATGGGTACTCTGGTCTTCCTCCCTCCTGAACAGGGTCCCAGATAAGTTTTCAAGGCAGGGTGTCGATAAGGAATTCCAACGGGTGGATTCCCACTGCACCTACCAAATCATTATAAATTTTCTACTAATTTGTTGAGTCATGTAGCTGACCTTGTCAGGTTCTGACCTGAGACCCCTCGCTTATCTGGAATACTGTCTGAAAAACCAACATTTCCAAATTCTAACTCAATCAGGATAGAGGAACCACATGAAAACTAGCAAGGGCTGCTGTGGCTTCCTCTCTAAATAAATATTATAATTTAAATCTTCATCAGAAAACTTTACCTGGAATTTCTCCCTCGAGTGTTGGGTATGTCTCTCTGTCATAAAGGAATGGATGGTACCGAAGGACACCCTCCACCACCCCACCTGATTCTGCACGGGCACGGAACTCAAACACTGAAGCTGCTGATCTGATGTACTGGGTCTGCATGTCATCATCAATATCGCGAAGTTGTACTCTTTTGGCCTGTTTGCCTTTTTCAAAGAGGACAACCTGAAGACAAAGACATAATTTCCTTTTAAAAATCCAGCAGGTGTTATCTCCTCAATACTACAGTAAGGTTCAACAAAACACAGATCCAGGAGGGAAAACCACAATTTCATTAAAAGGAAGGTTGCTTTAAATTCACCAAATGAGATTAAGAACACAACATATAAGTTAACTTTGAAACTAAAAGAACAATTTTTGGTATTTCATTCAGTACAATTAATGGTAAGAATGTGTCACAACATGGTAAGAAATATGGAAAAAAAATATAGCCTAAAATAAAAAATGTGTGATAGTTATGAGGAGATAGTTGAAAAGAAATACAGAAGAAGTCACTGGAGGCCTGCAAAAGAGTCCAACATCATACATGAGGCAAGCAACAACTAACAGAATGCAGACCACCATTTTAAACTCTATCCACTTCCCTGTGGAAGGAGCAAATCTTAAGTTTGTAAAAAAGAAATCAAAGCTAAACTTACCTGTATATCAATATTTCTGAATGGACTTGCAGTCGTTCCTCTACCAACAGGTTTATCATTTCCACGTGGCCCATGAATGTAGTAATGATAAATGTGTCTAATCAAATTTATATAAAAATAAGACTGGTCATGAGTAAAACCTTCACACGACATTTATGACTTAGAGCAAATGGTAAATGGCAAAAGCATGCATTGAGAAAAATCAAACAACATCTGTAGTCAAAACAAGCAAATAAAATAAAACAAATTGAAATTAAAAAAGGGCATTGTAAAAGGATCCCAAAAGAATGCACATTTTGTCATGTACAGTAATGTTGATATGTTTACATGTACCCATATACCTTTAACCCTTTGACGGTCTAAATAAAACATAACAAAGCAGTCAAACTAAGAAATTAGAACTTACGCTAACTGCCTGCACCAGTGCTTAAAATGTGACTTTAAATAAAGGATGTGTTCTGGTTTGATTCCTGTTATAACCACAGCAGTAAAGCTCTCCTTGTTTGGCTCTTCTTGCACTAGTTTCTTGACATTGTCCTCGTCACCAGCGATATGCTCATGGTCTCCAGCCTAACAGTGCAATATTAATAATTTAAAACTTATATATGTGTATGTAATAAATTGATGAAATTTATGGAGTCGAGTAATTCCTACTAAAACTTTGAAAAACTGCTATTACAGCAGTAACATCATGGGTGACAAATTACTCATTGGTACGAACCTATGTCAATTTATAATTTCACATGTAAAATTACAAAATTACCACGGCAACATTTGGCGTGAAATTTCTTGATACAATAAACAAGTCAAACACCCACAATTGTAAGTGCAATTTGCCACCCACGATTTTATAGGTAATTGAATACTTTTCTTGTAAAATTAACAAATAATTTCACTTGCATTTTGTCAAAATTCAAATAATTTAAAAGGTGTCAGAAATTATTAGAATTTTGACAAAACAAATGTGAAATTATTTCTTCATTTCACACATCACCATTAGATTAGGATACTAGGTTTTGTCCTATAATTTGACCAACGTACCCTCCTGTTGAGTATAGCTCCACCATAAATGGACTCCTTCTTCTTTTCCCTTCGCTCAAACTCTGCTTGAGATATACAAAGCTCATGGATGTCATTGCATTCTTTGGATTTTGTAATCATCTGAAAGAATGAAATGTATTTGTAAGTACAGTGGAATCCTTATTTCTCGAACCCTCAATTTTTCAAACCTCCTGATAACTCAAACCAAAAGTAGTTTCCCTCCCCTCAGTTGAGTACTGTAATTTTATCCCGGATTTCTCGAACTGTCTGATTTTTCAAACCAATTTTTGTTTCCCTTGGAGGGTTGAAAAATTGGGACTCCACTGTAAGTCACAAAACTATTAAGGCAGCATGTTCTCTGTGGTAAAGTTGGCATATAGGATGCATGGTCCACAGGTAGAAACAGTTGTTGTAAAATACCATCATTGCACACTACTCACTTACAATATTTCTGGAAACAAAGTGATACATGTAGTTGTTCTAGCCTTGTAGAGAGATGGTTAGAAAGAAAAAAGGAGAAATTAACAGGAAAAAAAAAGGCCTGACGTCGTGTCGAACTCGACTCATGACAAAAGATACACACACTCGGCCCACTCAGCACCTTATCGCTTGTGCTAACGAAGCAACGTAAATGATAGAGCTATATTTTATGAATACAATACTGGTATCGGCTCGAAAACAAGCGGCTAATGTGACGCTTCGTTGATTTCATTGTCCAGCGAAACAAAAGGTTTCTTTTGTTTCGCGTTTGACAAAAAGATGCTGCTAGGAAAAGTGCCTTTTTTTGCATACGTTATTTCTCGAAAACGAAGAGCAACCCAGCGAAAAAAACTACAGAGGAATGTTTCTCAGGTAAAATGAAGCCTACATGCCAAAATTCGGCTATTTTTGAGCACTTTCAAAAATGGCCAAAAAATCAAGGGGACGTTCTTGCACGCGGCCTTTCAATTATATTTATTTTATTTTTTACAATATTTACGATATCTAGAGAGGAAGCCACATAAGCTCTAGCTGCTTACATGTAATATTAAACTGCACCATAAACAAATTAAAGAAACCTAGATCCTGCATTTTTGGGGAAAAACCTGCATTGAGAACTTCACACTATATGAAATTAAAAACACAAAAAATAATTAGATCATTAAAATGCCCTTACCCGGGTAGCATCTCCAATGAAGAATATGGCTTGCTTTCCACCAACACCAAAGTATGAAATATCACTGTTTAAAGACCTCGGAACATCTGCTGCACTATGAAATCAAACAATTAAGAACCAATTTAATCATTTATTCTTTCAACAAACCAATTTAGGGACAACTTTGGAGTCAAGTGTATACTTACATTTTCCTTTCATTCTGGCGATTGAACTTGGATAACCGATAGATAGCCCAGTTGTTAAGTTCCTTGGATGTCATCCCAGCTCCATTATCAAGGACACAGACTACAGCTTTTCCAACAGAGTCATCAAACATCTATCAAAATTAACATGAAATTAGACAAGATGATAATAGAAACATGTGTAAAACTGATAATAGCTGGTCTCCCTTGATTAGCTGATTGCTACCAGCAGATCAGCCCACAACTGCCTTTTTTGCCTAATCTGAGATTAAGAAACAAAGTGTGCAAGTGTGAACTATAGTATCAAAAACCCTCATGAAAGGAGTGAGTAAATGACTAAAGGAATAAGCGACTGTCTTGAATGAACAAAAGAGGAATGACAAGGAAAAGAAAGAAGAAAATACTTAATGACGAACTGAATGACTGACAGACTGACTGACTGAAGGATGGACAGACAGACCAAGAGACAGATGGACTGATGGTCTGACTGACTGACGGACTGACTGACTGTCTGACTGACTGTCTGACTGACTGACTGACTTATTGACTGACGGACACACTGACCGACTGACTGACTGACTGAATGACTGACTGATGGACTGACAAACTGAATGACTGACTGAATGACAGACTGACTGACTGAACGAAAGAAATTCCACTGGCAACATGCAATAATGATAAGTTGCACTGCATTAGAACTTGCTTTATAATCACTTTTCTGACAAAATGGCAAGATCAATCAGTTGAGTACTAGCTGAAGACAAAGTTCTGTTTGTCTAGAACCCAGAAAATAGTTCACTTAAACAGCCAAACAAAGTGAAACAGAAAACACAAACTTTATGAAAGTAGCTAAAAAGGAATTTTTGGGATCAAGCCATTTATCAAGGAGGAGCTTAAAACTCTTGATTTATTCATGGTATCGAGGTAAGTTCCACTTTTTTTGCGGGCAGTCTGAATTTTCCTCTGATATGGACCCCTAATATTTTGTCATCTTCTTTGAGAAGCATAATCTGACATATATACCTTTTCCCATGTTAAAAATACTCTGCACGGAACGAAACGGGGGTGGGGAATTGATGGAACCAATTTAATACTCTAAACACATACCAGTCTTATCTCAATTTTTCTTGGGCCTTCATTATCTGCAGTGGCAGCGAGTGCATTGTCAACAAGTTCCGCAAAAGCAAACGCTAAAACAATCAAAGACAACAACAGCAGCATTAAGTTTGAGTTTGCATGGCAATCAGAACGAGACTATTTGTACAATAAGGGGCAGAATGCTAGTTGGTTGAGAGAACAAGTGTATAGACCATGAATTTAATGACACCTGTAATGCAATTTTAAGAAACCTTCATAAATAGTTAACAACTTTATTAATGTAAAAATAATTACTAGAAACCAGAGAGTGAGTCATGAAATGTTAATTCAGGCAAGTTGGGTGAAATTGCAGACAAACTTGGCAGCTTTGAGTGGAAAAGTAACATAACCAGCTGTCACACAAGGATGCAGCACCATATTGATTTTTCCACACGATTCACCAGCACATGTTTGATATCACAAAATAGCAAGTTTAGAATATAACAAATTTAGTAATACCGTAAAATGGCCAATTGAGGTTTTTAATGAAACCACTTTCCTGCACTGGTGTTCCACTTGAATTTTGAACATTTTACATCATTATCTCTATGCACCCATTTACATATAAGCAATACAGGACTTTTTCTGTGTTTACACAGTCTCATCTAAACCCAAGGGGGGTTTGGAGAATTTGAGACAGTTCTATAAACCAAAGACACAGTCAAGGTTTTGCATAACCCACGAGAATTCTCCTAATAACCCAGGTGTTTGGATGAGGCTATGTAGACATGGAAAAAGTACTCCTAACTATTGCTTTTTAAAAATATTTCTCAGAAAAACTTGAAAAATGGCATTCATGGAAAGCAGGCACTTCGTTATTGTTTTCATTTTTGCTGTTATTAGATTTAATTAGTAGTAGAGTAGTATCTTAACAATGTAATTAATGCAATTTTAGTATTTACTTTAAGTCCTGATGTTTTACCCATGTATAAATAAACTTAAATAAATAAATAAATAAATAAATAAATTCTAAAGCATCACAACCGTGTTTACACACTTTCATCTGAACACACCTACCGACCAATGAGAGTGTGCGTAGTATCTAACCTATTAATTTTATAACAGAGTGTAAACCATAAGCAACACAGAAGAAGACTTGTTTATGTGACGCTACTTACGTAAGGGGTTTTGACCTTCACTGGCATAATATTCGTACATGCCACTTTTGACCAAGGTGTCGTAATGAGGGATGTATTCCACTCTCTCTTCAGTTGGAGCACTGAGCTCTTGATCAGCTGATTGTAAGATGTAAAGTGTTTCATTTCCATCCACTAACTCTTCTGACAAAAGGAACAAAGTTGTCCTTTTGTTAAACTAGTTAAACTTTTAATTTGTTAAAACCAAACAAATAACACAGCATGCTACACTACATTTAAAGGGATCATAAAATGAATTATTGATCCTCAATCTGTATTGAAATTTCTTCAATACCACAAAACTTCTAACGGAATTTTAAACGTCATTGTCAAAGGTTTCAATCAAATTTTTGTCTTTTCACCTACCATACGTTTTGTCGTCCAAGATTTCCTGTCGATTCGTGGTGACTATCACAAATGTTTCATTTTCGGAAATACTGAAAGCCTACAAAACAATTGAGAAGTTTGTGATTGCAACAGGTAGCTCTTAACAAAATAAACTTATTGTCTTCAAAGTGCTACAAATAAACTTAAAAAGTTTGAAAGCTCGAGCTTACTGTTCGGGTCTTTTCTTTGAAAGTGGTAAAATTGAATATGCCGCCTAACTGAATCTTCTCTTCCGGCCTGCTGCCAGCTCTACGATCATAAATAAAAACTGCGGCATCCTCTTCGTCTTGCTCAGAAGATGACGCATCGTCTTTATTTGATGACTTCATGGCCGAACAGCGAAAAGAAGAAGAATACAAGAGTATTCTTTGCTGGTGCACACGAGTGCCTCACGCTTCCAAAACACCACTACAAAAAAATTTCAATATAAGGACTATTCTAATTGGTTGAACACTTCTTAATCCAAATTTGGAACACGATTATCCAATCATAACATGTCTAATAAAAACGTGCACGCGGACAAGTCCCGGATAGAAAGCGTGACCGCTACCGTGACTAAAATAATTCCCGCTAAAAGTTCAGAAGTTTGTAAGATCATCAACTCTCATAAAAGATTTTTCAAACTTTGGAGACATAAGCTTTCCTTGTTTTGTAAAATGATTCTATAAAATGTCACGTGGTTTAGATCAGAGAAGTTTTTTGGATAGTTATCTCTAGTAAACAATGCTTGCGATGGCAAAAATGTGTTTTGTAGCTAATTAGTGTATCACTCAGTCTAAAAACTACATGAAACCAAAATAAAAAATAAAAAATAGGAAAGTCTGGAAAGGTATAAAAGATTTGTGTTGCGTGACCGAGAAGAGGGAAACTGGATCAAAGGAATCAAAATCCCACGTGACTTCCGGTTGTTCCTCTCCGCCATATTGAATTTCTTGAACAAAAGTTCGGTCAACGTGGCTTCTTCCAATTTGTATTTTTTTGCAAATTGTTAGACCTCCACTTTGTAGTTTGCGCCTTATCCTGTGACTAAAAACTTCACGGATAAGATGAAGCTACAGGAGAGTGGATTCCAGCTACCTTCGTTTCTTCCTCGGCTATCGTATGAAAAGCAAGACACGTTGCTAAAACTCCTCATCTTGTCCATTTGTGCCGTGTTGTGTAAGTACAACAACCCAAATGATTTGTCAAGTAATGAAGTCTATTGCTCTTTAATTATTTCTATGATCATATCCTTTATCTTACTTGTGCTGTGGAAAATTATTTTTAAAACGCTGTTGTTACGCTCCTAAGGGTATGTAGGCAAAACAAAATTTGATGGATACAAAGTACAATAGTTTGTATCGATATCTTAATTCAAACTTTACAATCCCCCACCACATACTATTACTGAAAACCATCTACTTTTTATTACTATACAGTTCAGACTAAGTAGCATTTATCATCAGGTTCCATAAAGGATCCTGTATTTTACCCTGATTAAAGAAAATAATATATCAGTCTGATTTTTCCTGTTCTTTCTTCACAGCTTTCTCCACTAGGTTATTCTCTGTCCTGAGGTTTGAGAGTGTTATTCACGAATTTGATCCGTAAGTTTTATTTGATCCTGAGATGTTAAGACTGATACGCAGAAAAGAACAGTATGTATATCACTGTTTTGTCCACTGTAGTTTCTAACCGTCTGAGAGTTTTGTTCCCTGGCGGTTGCTTGTTGTACTGTGATAAAAAAAAAAAAAATACTTCTTCATGACCAAGAAGTTAAATAGTATTAGATGAATCTCATTCAATTCTATTCACTTTCACTTATAATCAAGATATGTAAAAGTCTTTGAGTTGGCTTTTTCTTAGGTTTTTGTTTTTTGTTTTTTAAATCTGTCATTGTTGTTATACCATTTACATTCCAATATATATATTTTTTGTTGAAAGAGTTTAAATACATTATTTTACTTTAGAAGGATCAGCTACCAGTGTGCAACCTGTAACCCTTCTCAAATTTCTTCTAGAGCTCTTTCAACCAAATTCTGAAAATAGTACCTGAATGCTATACAATATTGTTTAAGCAGCTGAATCAACATTCCATAATTCACACAGTAACACTGGGAGAGTGAAATGTTAATTTTTCCCAATGATTTTTGCTTTGAATCTCTTGGTTTCAATATAATTTCATTCCTCAAGGCCAGACTAACTAGTCCATTTGTGCATGTAATATATTTTCCATATTTTGTCTTTAAAGTCACAGTGTTCTTCTTGAGGTGATCAGGTGATCAGGTGGTAAATTCTCATAGCCACTTGAAGTGTTAGCCAGTAGAAAGGTAAAAAGAAGTAAGAAATTGATCGCAAACTCAGTTGAGTAATCGTCACCCTGTTTTTCTCAGTTACTTCAATTATAGAACTACGAGATTCTTAGCAGAGGAAGGATTTTACAAATTTCATAACTGGTTTGATGACAGAGCATGGTATCCGTTAGGAAGAATTATTGGTGGCACAATCTATCCAGGTGAGAACTAAAGAAATCTAATGATGTACTTGTTTAACTCTCATTAAATCTAAACAAATGTTATTGCTTTTTCTTGCTCCAAAAAGGGAGTCAAGGCTTTTCCCAAAGATTTTTCTGCCCTTGTATTAATCTTCAGATGTACAAGGGGTGGGGGGATAATAATTTGCTATCAAATTCTTCATGAAATTGTAGAAATTTGCAATTGTTTACATTCCAGAAGCATTCTGGCTTGATTTTGTATCAGTTTCTGTTATTTCTTGACTAAGAAGTTTCTTCATATGCTTTTATCACTGATTTTTATTTCCTAGTATTTCTTGACTTTTTGTAAAAATAGTGATACAAGATGGCAGGTCAAATGATGTCATTTGAAGTCATATGATGTCATAACCAACAAAAATGGTGCCATCTTGTAGAGCAAGTTCAGGGTTATTTAATCGATGTGCATTAACAGAATTAAGACCCAGGGCCCGAGGGGTTCCATCCATCCTCCTTGTACCACAATGGGGGTACAAGTTTGCTTGTACATCTAAGGGTTAAGCATATAGAACTGGGCATGCATGTTTGGATGTTGTAGATCTGACAAAATACACAGTGAACAGTTTAATGTTTCTCTGGTACTTGGCTTCTTCAGATTTGACAGGACAGTGGCTAAAGTCAAGCTAACACTTATCATCAAATGATACCAACCGATTTCTCTTATTATTTCTGCAGGTCTCATGGTAACATCAGCCGTCCTGTATCATGTGATGAATTTTTTCCACATCACTATTGACATCAGAAATGTTTGTGTTTTCCTGGCTCCTTTGTTCTCATCATTGACGACGCTAGTTACTTATCACTTGACAAGAGAACTCAAGGTTGGTGATACCGTGCTACAATTGTCCTTTTTAAACAAGGACCCCAAGCAAATTAAAGTTACTTTCAGGGCATAGTGGATCATGTAACCCGTAATAATAATAATAATAATAATAATAATAATAATAATAATAATAATAAT